GGGTGCATGGTGGCTTAGTGGTTAGCACGTTCGCCTCACACCGCCAGGGTTGGGGGTTTGATTCCCACCGTGGCCCTGTGTGTGTGTGTGTGTGTGTGTGTGTGGAGCTTGCATGTTCTCCCCATGCTGCGGGGTTTCCTCCCCCAGTCCAAAGACATGCATGGTAGGCGTGTCTAAATTGTCAGTAGTGTATGTGTGTGTGTATGTGAGTGTGCCCCTGCGATGGATTGGCACCCTTTCCAGGGTGTACCCCGTTCTGGAAATCAAAAAAGAACATCAATCTCACACAACGGAAGACGTAACAATCGATTACTTAACGCAATGAAAAATAAAACTAGCTAATTCAATTCTATTTGGACACTCATCACCATCATACACCAGTGAATCATGTCACAATAGATTTCTTACCACAGACACACCACATCGCCAAAGCCATAGCAGACATCCATCCATCTTTTCATACATTTTTTGTACCGCTTTTCCTAAACAGGGTCGCGGGGAGCCTGGAGACTGTCCCAGGGAACTCATAGAGATCATAGATTATCAGATATCTGTATTTCTGTCCTCCAAAGAGGTGGGGGGGGGTTGTTAGGTGAAAAAAAACATGATGGAAAAATACAACCCCTAAAACTAGCTATAGCCCGAGAGGGTGGTTCTGATGTCTTTTAAAGATGTTTCTTCACAAAACTGCACCCAGAAAACCAAACTATGAGATTTGCAGCTAATTCCCACTGAGCAACTGTCGATCACGGAGCATAACAACCGCACATTACGTGTAGAGCAAATGGTCATGACCTGCAGGCAGACACACATCTGTTCACGGATGTAACCGTGCTAAGCACACTAATCTTATGCTTGGTATTATATAAGAGATAGCTCTTTTTCTATTCGAATTTCCCTTTTGCATTACACAACATGCACAGGTGCATAAAAGCCCCACAGTTCATCACTGCATAAACAAAACAAATACTAAACATGCTTACAATTTGCATTTTAATATATAGTCTCTCAAGCAGAACTGTCTGTATATTTACATTTGCAATAAATGTGTGTTTTTACAGCAAACACAAATGAAATCTAATATATATAGTATATATATATATATACTTATATACTTCACTGTATGAGACAGATGATGATCTTGAATTAAACTGCACGAGCTGCGCTTCAAAAAAATGCGACAGGACGAGTCTGAAAATATGAGAGCGGTGAGAGTTGTGCTAGTGCTGAAGTGGTGAGATAAGACGTCACATTACCGGACACTATAAAGTGATAAAGCAGCTTCTGGTGGGAGGAGGACACGGATAAGGAGGATAAGGAAAGAAGGATCAGGATGAAAAGAGGACTGACTGATGCTCATGCCAAAAGCGAGAGAGAGAGAGAGAGAGAGAGAGAGAGGGAGGTAGAAAAAAAGCAGCAGACATGATAATTAAGACACAGTGGCACACAGCTGCATCAAACATCTGGAGCAAAAAGCATGTGTGTGTACGTGTGGATAAAATAATATCTTTCATTAAGCACACCAAACTTTTCAATCTCAAGTTTCAATAAGGTCAATGAAGTAATTAAAGGGGTTGTATGATGATTTAAAAGGTCATTATTGTGTTTATAGGGTGTTATATAATAGGTTAACATGCTTTAATGCTCAAAAAAACACATTATTATTCACATACTGTACATTATTGCAGTTCCTCTATTCCCAGTCTGTCTGAAACGCTCTGACTGAGTTCCAGTTTCTCCAAAAGCCCCTCCTTCCGAAAAGCCCAAAGTGGCCAGCTGACCCATTGCATTGTGATTGGCCAGAAACCTCAAGTGTGTATCGGAAGCGTGTAACATTCCTTACCATAATCGCGAGCTTCAGCTTCCAAGGCTTTATTCTAAAGCAATAATAAACATAATTAATGTCGTCGGTTTTACCGTATCAGTTCGAGCCCGAGTCCGATTCTGAAAATGCAGATGATCACGCAGATCAATCGGAACACGACTTGAGCAGAACGTTTCACAGTGCTAAGTTTTTATTTTGTAACTCTCTTACCGTTCAGATACCATGTTGTAATGGTCTAATGTGTCTTCCTCACTGTAACAACTTTAGGTTCTGAAGTGACAACATGAAATATAATTGGAAAAAAAATGTTAATGAATTAAAAATTTTAAAACGAAGGCGGTATTATGCTGATTTTTTTCACATTTTTCAAATTTCAAAGACGTTTGCAGAAATAACATCTGGACTTGGATCGAGGTGTTCTAGGCAGGTCTGGAGCAGTGGTCTCTGTCAGAATAAATCCCTTTGTGGAAGACTATGAGCTTTGTTACTTTGCAAATCTTATACATGCACAAACAGATACATTACACACTAAAGGAAAAGGAAACCATTCAAACGCATCATATGACCCCTTTAATGAAAAAAAATAAAGCGTGTTAGTAAGGTTTTGGGCCACAACGAATCACCAGAACAACTTCGATTCTATTCTCATCAATGATGTCTAACGCATTGGTCAAAAATCTTCCACAGGTGTACGTTTTGGTTGATATCTGGTGACCGTGAAGGTTATTTTCATCCTCAAACCATTCAGTGAGCCCTTGTGCCTGTGGATGGGGCGGAGCCGTCCTAGAAGAGAGCACTCCCATCACTATAAAGGTGAACATTCAGAAGATCTTTGCATTAATTTGCTGTGACTCTACCTTCTAAACGGACAAGCTGACCCAAACCATGACTGCAAAATGTCCTCCATGGTACAATACAGCTCGGCATTATATTTCCCTTTCATTTGTCACCTGCCTGTATTTGTACGTGTGTATGCTTGTGATACAGATCGTATGCAAGTGGATTCTAACATACAAAACATCAGTAACACATTAAGTTATAGTTAAGCAGACCTTAACCCAGAGCGTAAGAAATATTTAAGCAAGAAAGAGAAAACAAATAGACCAAAGAAAAGGAGAGAATATTATAACTGTGCATCATAGTGTATCTGAGAGTTCAGATGCCCAGCCCCCTGTACTCTGCTCATCACTGAAACTAGGTTAGGGCAGTTTTGATGCCCTCAGGGCATTTTCTTGCTGTACCACTAAGCTAAGTGACCGCAGTTACAGCCCCAAAACTACAGCTGACAGCTTCATAGTGCTCCACCAACTCAAAAACCCTTCTGTTTTATAGAAAGATGTGTTGTGTGTTATTTAAGAGCGTTACATGTCTGATGTTTAATGTACAAGCATATGAAAGGGGAAAAAAAAAGAAATACGATTGAATTAAACCAGGATGAGATAAAGCGAGAGAGGCTGAGGGAGAGTAGGATAATGCTAGAACTGGAAAAATACAAAGCAGGAAGCAATAAAAAGAATGAGGGAGTGTGTAATTCATAATTTCAATAATAAGCTATACATTCATTGTAAATATTTACTCTTTAACATATTATTGGCTTAACACCCCGATTTAGATATCTACACTGTTATCACAGATCTGCCCATGAAATGGTGACATCTCTGATTGTTAGTCCTAGTAAAGCAGTCTGGAGGCACTACCATGAGTTCAAATTATTGTACACAGTCAGGTCAGGGTGTCCCTGAACATGCTCAGCAGGACTGAACAATAAGGACAAATTGCTCTTATAGATGTAATGCTATATGGTATGATTGCAATATATTTTGAATAATAATAAACCCTGTGATGTTCCACCAGAATGGGGTTTATACACAGGTTTAAATATTGGGAAGAAGAATGACTGAGGTACCACCCCAGTAGGTCTACTGAGGATGTGATCTCTCGTGTCCTACACACCACCCTCACCCACAGCGACAGCAACAAAGAGAACTATGTGAGGCTGCTGTTTATAGATTATAGCTTAGCCTTCAATACCATAGTCCCAAACAGACTGGCCTCCAAACTCAGGGATCTTGGTCTCAATGCTCCCCTCTGTGACTGGGTCCTGGACTTCCTCACAGGCAATGACAATAATAAATAAAATCTTGAAATCTTGACTAGTACTCAATGCACACAATGGGAAAAATTTGGTTTGTGATTGTTTTTAAGAGTTGTGGGTTCAAGGCAACTAACAGGTCCATTCACATTGTGTACAGCTGCAGCAAGTACTGAGAAACCTGTTGACCTCCTAGTGGATCTATTCTACCTTTCAGGTAAATTCAGAGTCATAACAACAAGAAAAACTGGCGTCAAAGTGAAGGTGCTGGTAAACTGGATATGACTGGTGAATTGAACACTCCGGATACAATTTCTTCTTGGAGTCTGAACAGATAATTGACATCATGAAAAGGGGCTTCTGAAATCTCCACAGATGTAGAGTGTTTCTTCTGGGGAGTTAACTGGTAGGCTTTTGAGAATTTGTCGATAGTAATTAGTAAGGTTCATAATTGGAATGCAGGTAGATCAGGTTGGATTCAGGACAGGCAGAGCCCGAGGATACCAACAGGCAGTTCTCTGGAGGTTTTGGATTGAGTGTAGATTGTCAGGCTTTTACTAATTATTTTCTTCTAACGACTGGTAGAAGAAGTAGCTCCGCACCAGTCAATGTATTTCATATCCATGATGCCTGAATGTTACAGACATGTAATCCTAATAGATAAGGTGGTCATGGATGGACAAAACATTGGAAGGAACTGGATCTGAGAACTGAGTTATGGCTGTCTTTCCTCCTTGACGTCTCTTTTGACTGGACCCACCAATCTGGTAATTGCATCTGTGGGTCTTGGAGATGTAATCATTATAAACAGTAAATCAACTACATACCACAGGTAGAGGCTTAGGCTTGAAAAAGGCTGATAATGTAGAAAGCCTATAACCTAAATGGTTACTAAAGGGTCATTGACCACACTATTATGACACCTGAACTGGTGATGAAGACAGTTTTGCATTTGTTTTCCTTACCATTACATTTCACATTAAAAGCATAATTCAGCTCTAAATATTCTTCTAGAGCAGTTAGTATCAAGTGTAAAAGATATCAATAAATTTACTGTGATTGAATTCAAGCTGCTGTAGTCTAAAGTCTTTTTTTTCCTAAATTGCTGGCAGCTCTGAGAGAGATGTTGTAGGCCAATTGTTTCCCAAGTCTAGTAAAT